TATACATATATATACACATATACATACATGCATACACATACATGTTTAATCTAAATATTAAATCTAAATATATATCCTAAATCATATCTAAATCTTAAATCTCAGAAAATGCTGATTCATGGTAGTGGTGTGGCCATGAGTTGAGATGTTTAATTGTTATTTTTTTCTGAAAGTTTAATTCTAAGATTTATGATATATAGTATTTTGATTCAAGTTTTATGAAAGATAAGTATATTTAATTTTAGATTTTTACATACATATGTATCATACATACTGTAAGCTTTAGTCTTTGTTGAAACAAGAGTCCATTAGCATTTGAGCAAAACCTTACCTCAGCCCGCCTTGTTGGGTCCAGTTGCAGATAGAAAAGAGGAAATTGGAAGTGCTGTTTGTCTGCTGTAGTGAGCACCATAACTTGAAAGATAAGTGAGGTAATAGCTTCAATGTTGGTGTGTGGCTAAAAGGTTCCTTTCAAAAATTGGGCTACCACATCAAAATCCAAGATGACACCACTATTTATAAACCAGCCACCACCCCAATCATTTGAGGAAACTAAATTTTCTAGATTTTATTTTTCTTAAAAGTGTAGTTTCCTCAAATGAATGGAGTGGTTGGTGGGGTGGCCAAACACATTCTGCATCACTTCAGACAAGCAAAAAAAAATCTCACAGTTTTTCTACACAGTTTAACTCCTACTTAATTGTATTTCTTGCACCAAAAATATTGTTTACTTGCATTTTCTGTTCAGTTCCCACGCAGAAAAACCTTAATCTCTAAAACTCTAAACATTCCTTATTTGAATCTCTCAGCGAGTCATTATCCTCATCAGGGATTTCCTATTTATGTTTCCCTAATTCCTGGCCTTTTTATGATGAAGAAAAAAAACATGAAAAAATTTAAATATTTCTAGTGACAGATTCAGGGTCTGTTATCCTGAGAAGACAAAGCTTTTAAACAGTTTGGATTCATGAGTTTCTGGACAAAGAGTGGATCAGGATTCAGGTACATGCATCTCAACAAGTAAAGAGCTGTTGGTAGAAATATGCAACTTGTTAGTAGCTTCAAAGCTGAGTGACCTCACAGTTGCCTCATAATATTTGCACAAACTAACTCACTAAATTATTGTAGATGAATAAATATTTAAAAAACTATCTATGTTGTTACTATATTAAAAGGTATCTTGGTTCAGTGATAATGAGCTAATAACTGACATTTAAATTTCAGTGAGGATTTTGTGTCGTCCTACTTTGTGGCCTTCAGTAACGACAGCCATGATTGGACGGTGCTTCATGATGGCTACGCTGAATGGGTGAGTGGAAACTGAACAAAAAGCACAACAACAATAAATCAGTTTCACGGTGTCTGCCTCTCTCATGGATCCGTAACCCTGTCCTGCAGCTGTTCTATGGGAACGTGGATAAGGACACGCCGGTGATGAGTCAGTTTGCCGGTTCTGTGGTGGCTCGGTACATCCGGATCCTGCCTCAGAGCTGGAACGGCAGCCTGTGTCTGAGAGCTGAGGTCCTGGCCTGCCAGCTGCCCAGTCAGTATGACAGAAACCCTCATCAAAGCAACACAAACCACCAACAGGAAATCTTATATCCACCCTGACAAATAGCTACTCATCTTATAAACATGATAATTATGTTTTATTAACACAACCTACTGGTATGGGATTTAGTATATACTGTACATTTGAGTAAGTTTTCAATATATATGTAAGTTATAAAATATAACAGACTCAAAAACTCTGATTTTTTTCAAAATATTTTTTAGTCAAAGGTATGAAAAGTCATTTTATACACTTAACACTGTGATTAGGGGAGGAAGTGCAGAAGCATTAAAGCACCTTTATTACAACATATGGCACATTTTACGCCTGTTAAACTATTCTACAGTTATCTGTAGCAAAGGCCTGATTATCTCCAAGCAACTTAAAAATCAAACTATGTTTTCATAAATCATAAAACATTTGCAGGCTGTTGCTTTTTATGTTTAACCTTAGTTTTGAGGTCAGATCACATAAACACCAGATACCCTGCAGTGGTCACACATTAAAGGGGCAATATTATGTAAAATCAACTTTTTTGAGTTTTATATCATGTATAATGTTATACTCTCATAAAAAACATGCCCAAAGCCTTGCTTTGACTCATTCATGCATGTTTGAGAAATCCTGCAGTGTTTTTAGGAAGCCATGCTGAGGAGCAAAACGACAGGTGGGGACTAGAAACGCCTTTTGGTACCAGAAACGCCCTTGGGACGTGTCTTTAAGCCGAACTTCCTCATGGCAGAGCACCCCCACCCCACCACCTCACTCATGACTCCTGAAAGTGAAAGTGAAACTTAAACTGTCTGCTGAGCTCCTAACATTAGTTCTCACTCAGTGAAGCTCTTTTCAGATTAAAAATACCTTTGAGGAAATATATTTTCCGCCCCCGCACCGAAATGGGCGAGACAGAAGCGAAGGTGGTTCTTAAAGAGACAGAGGCCAATTTCAAGGCGTTTAGAAGAGGAAGTGATGAGAAGATAAGTTTATTTTCTATTTAAACAGGGTTCCTACAGTTAAAAGCAAGTTAAATTTAAGACTTTTAAAGACTTTTTAATGACAAGTGAAATTAAATTTAAGACCAATTTCATAATAAACACAAATGACAAAAAAACTATAGCAGCAACTCATGAATAAAGGTATTTTTCATTGAAATATTCAAATATTTTGCTAATAGACCATTTGTTTTAATCCAAATCGAACTGCTTTTTCATTAAATACTTATGGCCAAAACATTCTTAGCAGTCAGTTTAACAACACAAAATTTGTTATTTTAGGACCCACAGTGGGGTCTTAACCCCAATTTTCTGTAGATGAAACCTTAAAGTGCATGTGACATCAACAGTTGTAAGAAAAGTTAATGCTTTTTTGGAAAGACATTATTTACATATTGCAAAACAAATTTCACGATGCTCAGATGGACAATTGCTGAGATATTTGCATGTGAAGTAACAGGAAGTGATGTCAAACGGGAATGTCTGCATGTGAATATTTAAAAAAATAAATGTTAACATTTATTTTATTATTTGAGATGAATTACAGTCATCCTATTTAATGTGTTAACATTTTTAAGACTTCTGAAAGATTGATTTAAGACATTTTAAGGCTAAGAAAGGCCTTATTTTTGGATTGATGAATTCAATGACTTTTAAGACTTTTTAAGGATCTGCAGGAACCCTGTTAAACATAAAAACAGCATTTTAATAACAGCTAAAAGTGACATAGATACTTTATTATGGTATAGTATTTAAATGTATGCCTGAGAAACACATAATATTGCCCTTTTAAGACTCCATCTGGTGATGAAACATACGTTTATCAAGTTTCATTAAAAATATTTTGAGTGGATCAGATGTTCTGGTCCAAACAAGAGACAGTTTACAGATGGACGGACCATGTTCCCCAGACCATGACCTCCAGAGTTACCATGGGATCCTCAGCTTCTTCTCAAATCATAATACTGCAAATGTGAAAAAGTTCAAGGGGTGTAAATGTTTTTTAAATCACTGCATATTGACATCATTAACCTCCCCCTGACCCCAGTACCCCGGTGCAGTTATCTGCTTTCTCCTGCTGAAAATCCAACCTTGTTCAGCAGCTGAGAAGCCAAGAAGTGTCAGGAGCTTTTGAAAGAGGGGGATTTTGTTTTCCCTTAAAGTCAGACCTTTTTCATTCCAAACAGTAATATGTCACCCTTCCCTGGAAGGAAAACCTCTGCTGTTTGCCAAGCTTGGACTCTAATTGGTTTCACCCAGCAGTGAAGAGACACAACAGTCTGTTTCACAACATGAACCGCACAACCTTGGAAGTAGAATGTGTCAGTGTTTTTTAATTATTGCCAGTTCTGTTCAGTTGTTCCAAAGTAAGCTATTTCAAACTTATAAACATTTAAATGCAAATCTTGAATAAATATCTAAAGACTGAGCTATGAAAAGCAGCAATTCAGCTTATTCAAGCAGACTCAGTCATTGTTTTCTGATACAGAGATAAGATCCCTTTGTTTCTTCTAACAGGCAGCTATCAGAGTGAAAATGAGGTTGATCCCTCTGACGACCTGGACTTCAAGCATCACAACTACAAAGACATGAGACAGGTTGGTTTTTAAATAAAACCCATCAAATTGTTTAAACACACCATTCTACCAACAATAAAAATGTAATTTCTGCAAATTTCAGATGATGAAGATGATTAACGAGGAGTGTCCCAACATCACCAGGATCTACAACATCGGTAAAAGCTCCCAGGGTCTGAAGATGTACGCCATGGAGATCTCCGATAACCCAGGAGAGCACGAGACTGGTGGGAGGTTTTATTTTGAAACCTTTTGATTGAAATAGCATAAATCCAAAAGTAAAATTGATTGTTTAAAATACTGGAGAAAATGTGGTCAGCAAACTGATGGTTTTATATTTTTTTATTCAAATTGATGCTGATATCCGCGTGTTTTTAGGCGAGCCAGAATTTCGCTACACAGCTGGCCTCCATGGCAATGAGGCTCTGGGTCGAGAGCTTCTCCTGCTGCTGATGCAGTTCTTGTGCAAAGAGTATAACGATGAAAACCCGAGAGTGCGCCGCCTGGTGGACGGAGTGAGGATCCACTTGGTGCCCTCGCTGAACCCTGATGCATACGAGCTGGCCTACGAGATGGTACGCTGAATTTTCACAACAGACTTACACATGAGCTAAATAATGATCTGATTTCTGCTACACTTTCTGTTTTCAAAAAAAGATTAGGCCTACCTGACATGTTTTCGTGATAACCTGAACTCCTGAGGCAGCTAATCAGCAACCAGTTATGTTAATGACAGAAAAGTTCTTCAAGCAAAGTGATGAGAACTGACTCAGATTTAAAGATTACGGCTTGAAGGTGTCAAAGGTTCATCCTCTGCAAACATCAGAAATGAGACCGAGGTTACCAAACCAGACACATCCGTGCCTTCAGGTTCTGTCCAGAAACACTACAAACAAGATCAAAGACAACCTTATGCTGAGAATGAAGACAAGTCTATTGCTTTGGTAAGACAAGGACCAAAAAGCCCTCAAAAAAGTGACCCTGGCACCTCAAATTCTTCAGCACCTCCACAGAATGTCTGAAAAAAACGAGTCGGAAGTTCTCCCAGACCCACAAAACGCACTGAAACTAGGCAGTCCATTTCCCATTACCCCCTTAGAAACATGGCAAAGCTGAAGATCCAGTTCACTGTTTCATGACCCAGAGGAAAACCACACTGCTCCTCCTCCTCCCTTCACCACCCAGGAGAAAGCTTTCACTCAATAGTTGGAACACATTTTGGTGAAAAGTATGAACATGAAAAGTATGAGCATGTACAGCACTCAGTATTTAGTTGGGGCTCCTTTGGCCTGTATTACTGCAGCAATGCGGCGTGGCATGGAGTCGATCAGTCTGTGGCACTGCTCAGGTGTTATGATAGCCCAGGTTGCTCTAATAGTGGCTTTTAGCTGTAGCTCTTCTGAATTGTTGGGTCTGGTGTATTGCATCTTCTTCTTCACAATACCCCATAGATTTTCTATGGGGTTAAGG